CAGGGGGGTTGTATATCGATTGTAATCTAGGGGATTACTATCGATATATAGCACCTTTTAAATTTTGCTGATGATGACTTGATTATGACGGTCAGTAAAGAGATCCTGTATGGTGTTAATGATTGAAGTAGGTATAGAGCGATGAAGTAAAGATTGTTCTAGGAGATTGAGGTTAACAGAATCATAAGTTTTACTCATGTCTTGAGATAATAGCCATATTTCTTTATGGTTACATGTTGCATCTTCTAAAAAGTTGTTGAGGATGTGGATAGAATTGAGGTACTGTTTCCAGGTAAGGCAATATAGTTAAAGGGTGATAGTATAGGATATTGTGAAAATATATTATTAAGTCTATTAGTAATTATTTTTGTATAGATTTTTCGTGTATGTTCGACAAGGCTAATTGGTCGTATGAGATTAAGATTACCATTAAAGGTATTACGCTTGGATATAGGATAGATTCTGCTATATTTCTATTGCTTTGGTATATGACCAATAATAAGATAGCGATTAAAGAGAGAAGTGAGAGCTTGAATACATATTGTACCAGAATGTTTGAGCATTTCATAGCTTATCCTGGTAAAGCTACAGGCTTTACCATTTGGGAGTTTTGCAATAGTATAGAGAACTTCATTATCTGTAATGATTGCAGTTAAGTTATTATACCAGTCAAGGTTGATATATAAACATGATGTATATTGTTGGTTCTAAAAATTAAAAAATAAGAAATGATTAATGGATTTATATGCAGTCCAATTTTTAAAATGTGTTTGAATATGTTGTTTGATGAGATCAGGTTCAGTAACAAGCTTATTAAGTAATTTAATATTTAGAAATTGAATAGGTAGCTAGTAATAATTAAGAATGCTATTAATTGCTTGTATAGGTTGTGCTATAAGGGTGTTGTATCTTTTTTCTGATACATCTTGAATCTGTTGATACAAGAGTAAGGAGTTTCCATATAATGTGCATGATAGAGTTGTTTTCAGATATCCTGAGCATGTTTGATCCATTGACTAAGATAGAGTAGGTCCAAGGATGAGAGGAGTTGGAGATTGCATTGAGATTTGAGGTTAAGAGCATTAATCTGGGTATTTATGTGAGAGATGATATCTATATTGTTAGTATTAATATTCTTCACAATTTTGATTAGATGACCTAATTTTTTGAGAGATAAGTAGAGCAAAGTATTGTAGGGTGTATACTTGCGATTATAACTGTGTTTGTGGCTAATTTTATTAGAGATGCATTATATTGCTGTATATGTAACTAACTGTTCTATTTTGTGTCAAGTAGTATCAATACTTTCAGTTGTTTCAGTAGTAAGAGGTGTATTGTATGATTGGAGCTTAGAAGATAAGAGATCTGAGAATTCTGTTCAATTTTCTGGTGATATTAGCTTGTAATTAAAGATTCTACATGAGAATAGAATATTATATTATATTAAAAACAAAATACCATTAGCTTTTAAAAAACCCAAATATATTTATATTAAGTAAAATTATTATTTTACTTTCTAAATAAATTAATAAATTAATAAATATTAATAACGTAATTATTTAATAAAATTTATAAAATAATATTTAATTACCTTTGAATTTGATAGCTAATCATATCTACTTGAAATTTAATAATAATAAATCTTGTAGAAATACTATTATTATGAGTATCAGTGATTGTTTCAGTATACCACTCTACTTTCATTTCAGGTATTTTTTGAAAATCAAATGTTGATACAACATATAACATTACATATGCCTTTTGTTCAAATTCATATCATCGTCTACTCCACTCATTATCTTGTAATATCATTGCCATTGTTGCATCAGCATTCTGACCTTTAAAAATACATGTGTATTTTCTTTTACAGGATGAGTAACGTTGAATCCATGGCCCAAATATTCCAACAAATTGACTTTCGCTACATGGAATTTTGATTGTTTGTTTTCCTATTTTTTTAAAATGAAGTGGCAATCATTTCTTAATAAAAAATATTAATATTTCACGAAATTGTTGGATTTCATTTGGAGATAAATAAGGAATATCAGGTGGTAGTATTTTGTAATCATGATGTTTGAGAGTTTCATGTTGATAAAGCCCCTTTATGCTTTTAAATCATTTTACTTGACATAAGGTGCATTGGTAAGGCTTAGATACTTTTTGATTCTTAGAACTTTCGTTACTTGAATTTGTTGTTTTAGCAGAAAGCTTTGCCAAATTCATAACTAACGATAACTAGGGATAGCAAATGTTTTAAAACGTGATCTTAAAAAAACATGTTTGATTTAAAACTGTTTTAATACATTATAGCGTAATATGATCCAAACATGATCCAAATTGCATTTATTAATATCGATATTCAAAAATAAATTAATCGATATTCAAAAAATAAATTAATCGATATTCAAAAAATAAATAAATAAATTTTCAAAAATGTTTTATGTTCGCAGAAGGCTCCCTCTAAAAGAAATCTATTTGAACTTTACAAAAGTTGCTGAACCCGATAAACATGGTCGAAAAACACCACGCCAAAAATACAATTATTGCGAAAACTGTGTTGGTTCAGTTGACTGATTAAAGGCCATTTATTAAAATGTAAAAAACTTTCAAGAAATATAAAAGATATTAAAAATTCAGGATCTGGATTCTGGTTCGAATAATGATGTGCAATTAGATAAATCGGATGTGAATAGTATATTAGCAAGGTTTTTTATTCGGCTGGTATTCCTTTTACGGCTGTTGAAAATCCTTTCTGAGAAGAATTTATGGAAGCCGTACATTATATTAAAACTGTACACCCAACGAATTTATTTACCGATAGGCAATTATGCATTTAAAATCAATGAAAGTTGTATTTGACGATAGGCATTTAAACTCTTAAAATAAAAAATGTTAAAAAACTGTTTAAAACGTTTTTTAACATCCCTAACGATAACTATTAAAAAATAGTATAATTAATTAAAAATAATATAATAATTATATTTAAGAGTATTTATTTAATAACTATATTCATACAAATTAACTTATTATATTTGTCAGTATTGGTTTTTTTTTATCAGAGAATTACAAAGAGGTTTTAATATTGATGTCTGTTTTATAAAATATGAGTGCCACTAAATAAA